GATATCACTTATCTCCGGTGAGAATGGCCTTCATCAAAAAGTCCCCAAACAATAAATGCTGGCGTGGATGTGGAGAGAGAGGAACACTCCTACATTGCTGGTGGGACTGCAAACTAGTTCAACCTCTGTGGAAAGCAATACGGAGACACCTCAAAGAGCTACAAGTAGATCCACCGTCTGACCAGCAATCCCACCACCGGGCATCTACCCTAAGGAAACCTCCCCAGGACGCGTGGGGACCGTCCGCAGATGCGGGGTGCAGGCTGCCCTCTCCCTGCCTCTGGCCGCTCCCAGGCCGTCATCTCCCCACGTGAAGCCGGACACGGGAAAGGCCACTGGCAGTGCTCTCCTAAAACAAGGCAGAAGGCAAAAGTTGCCGCCAAGCACTGTGGGCCACGTGGCCCACAGGATGGGCGGGGTGTGTTCACGGCCACCCGGCCACCCCCTCACCCTCGCCACTGGGGGAGGATCGGGGCTCAACTGCACGTCCAATTTCCGTAACTAACACAGCTCTGTTCCAAGTAGTTCCCTGCCCTCATTCAGAGCTGGCTCTCACCGGGGCTTTGACGGCCTGGGGTGCAGGTTGACTCCCCAACTTGCCCGGCCGTCCTCAGGGCCTGCAGGTGACGGGCGCCAGGGACGGGCTGTTTCGAGGACTCAGATGAGCTGGCCTCACAGAGAAGAGGAGGAGAAACAGAAAAGCAGACGGGCCGCTCCTCAGCTGCCCCTGCACCCGTCTGCTCCAGCAGGAAAAACCATCCTCGCCCTTTAAAACACCCGCGGGTTTTGCTCCACGCCCGGCATTTTCAGTCCCTCTCTGCGCACCGTGCCACTCCCTCCTCTCCCTCCTCTCTTTCTTTCTCAGGAAAATGAATAGACTTTGTTCCCCTTTCTGTCCTAAACTCTGCATGAGAATCCTTTCCCAACAAGTCTCCAGCCCGCAGGCGTGAGGCCGCTCCCTCGGGGGTTCTGGCGGCATCTGCAGGCGAGTTTGCCACAGGCTTTGTGTCTGCCCTGCCGGGACCTGGGGCGCCCGCGCGCGCGGAGCACGCCGTGTGAGTGAGGGGCGGGGCGGGAGGTGCTTCCCGCGGGTCTCCCTGGATCTCTGTCCAGGCCCGGGCTGCTCCTGCTTGCCATGGCTCCTGCCCCGACTCCCCGCCCGCGGGGCGCCCTTGGGTCGGGATCCAGCCCGCACGCCGGCGCTCAGCCCTGACATGGCGCAGGACTCAGCTCCTCCGTGGCCTGGGCTGCGGGGATGTCCCTGTCCTTGTCCTCAGATCGGCCCATGAGGTTTCCAGCACGCCTTCACCGGCGGGTTCAGGTTCCAGGCGCTGCCGCTGGGAGGCTCGTCTGCTCCTGGCCTGAAGCTTCGGTCACCAGACTTCTGCAAGGTCACCCTCCGCCCAGCGTCCTGGGCAGCGCTGACCGGCCCACGGCCCCGCACCGGGTGCCCGTCTGTCCCGCAGTTCTCGGGAAGCCCAGGGCTGGGCAGCACGTCCCCCAGCGAGGGGGGCAGGTGGCACGCGAGGCTGGCAGGTGGCACGGCCTGCTGGCCCGGCCTGTTGGCAGCAGCTGTTTCTGGGGCCTTCTTGGCCTTTCTCACGGGCGGGCCCAGGTCTGAGCCGGGCTGGGCGCTGCCGCTCGGGCAGGGCAGATGCCGGTGGCTTGTGGTGCCTGCGGGTCACGCACAGGCGCCGTCTCCACAGAGCACTCGGGCTCCGCAGCGCCCAGGGCTCGCCGCAGCCTGCTGTGCCCCGAAAAGGCCTCTGAGCAGAAACGGGGTCCCGCCCGTCACGGCCGTGTCCCCAGCTGCCCCCATTAGGCGGATGTGTGGCAGCGCAGGGTGACAGGCCGGGCACAGATGGCGCCGGCAGGAAGGTGGACTCCAGGCCGGCCCCGGAATGTGCTTCCTGACCGTGTGCCCCGTCCCCTGTGAAGTTAGTGACCGGGTCACTGAGTCCTGGAGCCGCTCGGGCCGACTTCGGAAGGAGCAGGGCCTGGTCCGGCCAGCCCCTCCTGCAGCCCCAGCGCAGGGGCCCTGGAGCCACCTCCCTCTGTCCCCCGGGGGGTGGCGCCTCCTCTGCACCCCATGTCCTCCGGCGCACGCCCCACTCCTGCCCACGTGCTGCCCCGCCTGAGTGACCTGCTCGGGCCCCCAGCCGGGGCCAGGCGGTGTCTGGGGTCTGTCCTGGCCGTGACAGGCAGGGACACTGGTCCACCCAGCTGACCTGGCCCGCCCCGGAGCCTCCTCTCCTGGAGGGGGGAGTGGTGGCCGTGCGCGGGGGCGGCAGGGCTGTCCCCCCAAGTGCAGGTGTTGAAGTCCTGGGCCTAGAGCCTCAGAGCGTGCCTGTATGTGGAGACGGGCCCTTAAAGAGGACGTCAGGTAAACTGAGGTGGTTAGGGTGGCCTGGTGGAACGGGACTGGTGTCCTTGTAAGAGCAGAAGGACACGGACACGCACAGAGGGACGACCACTGTGGACACGGAGGACACGCAGGCTGCACGCCAAGGAGAGACGCCCCGAGGAGCCGGCCCTGCCGCCTCCCGCACTCGAGAGAAGCAGCGTCTGCCGCAGACGCGCCGGCCTCGGGGCTGTTCTGCCTGCCGGGCCGACTCCCGCGTGCTCGTCCCTCTGCGTCTGGTGACCCTGTGCACACTGGGCCTGTCTTGGCTCTGTAACGGAGCACGCCCGGCCCCGGCCCTGCCAGGCTCCCGTGTGGACGGCCGGGCTCCAGGGCAGGGCGGGAGACTCGAGGGGCCAGCTCTGCAGGGAGGGGTCTGGGGACACAGGGATCGGGGCTTGAACCCTTGGGGAGGTGGGGACGGAAGTCCCAGCCAGGCTGCTCGCTCTGCAGCCCGGCTGTCCTAGTTAGCTGCTGCCTCGGAACATACCGCCCTCAGGCCCGATGGCTTCCACAGCAAGCGCCATCTAATTACCTGGCGCGGCTTCTAAGGCCAGGGTTCCGGGAGGGCTGGGCTGGGGGCTCTGCGTGGGAACACGATCCACATCCTGAGGCCCCTGCACTGGGCACAGGAGCACCTCCCACCTGGCCGAGGACCGGAAGGCGAGGGCCGGGGGCCGGGCGGGCAGGGCTGGGGTGGGCGGGAGCAGGGGCCCAAGCACAGGGCCTCCCACTCCAAGTGCCGGGACACCAGTCGGCATGTTGTCACCGTTGTCACCATCTTGCAGCGCTTCCAGACATGTCCACTGCACCTGTGGCCCCTCTGGTCCCGTCTCTCAGCAGGACTGCTGAGCACAGTTATTCAGGCTATGCACTGCACAAGGGAGCCCCGCTGAGGTGGGGGGGGCAGGGGTGGGACAGAAGGGGGTGACGGGGCGCCTAGCCCCCAGGCGTGAGGGCTCCCACCCCAGTGCCACCATCAAGGCACAGTGACCCGCAGGGGCACCTGCGGCCAGTGCCGCCGCCACACTGCGCCGTCTCTTTTCTCCTTGTTATTACGACACTACGCACATCACAAACACGTCAACAGACGCGAAAGTGAAAGCAAAGAACGTCCCCTGTGATCCTGCTGTCCTAACAGGGTGGACGCTCCTTCGTGTCACTGCCCGGAGACTCTGCGCTTTGCTCTTGCGCACTCGGGCTGGAGACGCCATATCCCCGTCGTAACTTAGGAAGTCTCGCCCTGCTGCTCCCGTCTGGCTGCACAACCTCAAACCACAAGCTGACGGGCCGGACGGTCCACTGGGCAGAGGTGTCATCACTCACGTGCACGTTCTGACCTTTGCCTTTTCTCGTGGGCTCTAGGGCCAAAGCCAGTGCGGGTCGCTCGGCGACACGGACTGTCCGTCTGACCTGGGGCGACGATTTCATTTCTTAGCGCCCAGTCTCCTCAGGTGCAAAAGCAAAGGAAGGTTCCCCTCGGTGGCCCTGGGGAGAGGTGGGGGCCGAGCTGGGCCCGAGGGTCGTGGGCGGAGGTCAGAGTGTGGAGTCTGCCTGCGGGGAGTTTCCGAGAGCCGGGTTTGCAGGGAAGAGGCGGGACTGTCTAAGCACGCTGAATCCGGCACTGCGGACCACTACTAGTTCTGTGAAAATGCTAAAAGTTAGTAAGCACCTGTTCAGGTGGTGGCCAATCACCTGCCCCCACGGCGCCGGGCGGGGCTCGCTGCACCTCCCTGGGTCCCAGCGCAGCCGGCCCACGGGCCGGCGTCTGCTCAAATAAACTCTGCTACGGCTGTCTCCAGTTTTCCTTGCAAGACTGTGACCGTCACACAGAGGGCCAGAGCCTCCTCGCTGGCCTCCGGCCTCCAGCTGATCCCCACAGCGGCCACAGCGCATCCCGCTCGGCTCCACCCTAAGACCCCATGGCCCCAGGGCCCGTGGCTCCCACTCCATCTGCCACGCCGGTCCCCAGCTGGCCATGGGTGCAGGCGAGCACCCGAGGGCCCTGTAGCCACGTCCCCCGGGTCACGTGCCTCGCCCTCCCCGGCCTCCCCTCGCCCACTCCTCCCGCCGCACTCTCCTCCCGCGGCGTTGGCCGCCACCTGCCTCGACACGCCCCTTCCCCAGCTGGTCTTTCCTCCCCACGAGGGACACCCCACACAGGCCACCACGCCACCCTGTCAGTGCTTAAAAGACCGGTGGTTTTCAAATTTCTTCCACAGGATTCTTCCCCCTAACAGCCCCTCTGGCAGCCGTGTGGGGAGCAGAGAGCCGGGCTGCTGTGGGTGGGGACAGGGCCTGGCTGGTCCCGTGAGCAGGCCCAAGCGACATCGGGCCCACGGGCTCCGGGAGCAGGCGGCGTCCCTGCCCAGACGGTCACGCCACGGCACTCGGGGGCCAGCAGGGCACCCACACTGCTCTGTCTGGCCTGCGGCCGCCTGGGACCCTGAACGATCCCCGTCCCCTGCGTGGCAGGCGTGAGACCAGCTCACAGCTGCGGCTGTCACAGCGCAGTTTACCTCCCTGCGGAAGGGGGCACACGGGCACAGCTCTCAGCCTGAAGGAAATTCAACGGCATGAAAAAGGCTGTTTCTAGAACTCCAGCTTTGTAGAAAACTTTATTAATAACATCTGAGTGTACAAATGGAAAAGAACAGATAGTCGTCGTTTACCCCGTGCAGCTCTGGGTGACACCGGGGGACCCTGCGGCACCTTCGGGTCAACTTCACAGGTCTGGCACGCGGGCACGCCAGGCCCCGAGAGGGAGGGCTGTGCCCTGCTCGCTGACCGGCCTGTCACACGCGAGTCTGTGTCTGAGCCCCAGCAGATGCGGACAGGGGTGCCCAGTGCCACATGACACCGCCGTGGGAAGTCACTGGGCCCCAGCCCCGGGGAGGCGTCAGCCCGGCTCTGCCTGAGACGCAGCGGCTCGCCCATGTCTGCCCTCGACCCGCGGCGAATGCGCAGGGAACGGGAGCCAGGTGGAAAGGCCCCGGCAGGGGTCCCACAAACACCCCCACGTTTCCGATCCCCAGAAGGCGGCAGAGCCCTCGCCACAGAGGCCTACGGCAATGCGGCGGGTGCAGCGCCTCTGGGCCGGTCACACCGCGAGCCGGCCTCCTCTGGACCTGGGGCCCTGTGAGAGGCCAGTGCCGTCTGCCCGCCCGAGGGGCGCTCGGAGCAGCCCCGCAGCAGGACCCGGCCGCCCACGTTCACGGCGCGGGTCAGTACGCGACCTTCCAGTGCGTGGGCTGCTCACAGGCCTTCTCCTGGTCTCCACAAAACCTGTTGTACGTGGTCTTGGGGTCCAACCCCAGGATTTCTCTTTCCTCGTGAATCCGGAAAGAAAATGTTGAGACTGAGGTGCCGATGAAAAACCTGCAAAGTATCACAGGAGGTTCCAGGGTTACACAGAACCAATCGATCAACCGATAAATCCACCCATCACACGCACCCGCCAGATACCCGACTGGCCTGGCCCCCTTCCGCAGGGGCCCTCGACGTCTGCACCCCGCGGGCTCTGCCGGCATTTGTGCCCCAGCCCGCCGCGGGCGCAGCGATTCTCCCCCGGCCCCAGCCCGCCGAGGGCGCAGCGATTCTCCCCCGGCCCCAGCCCGCCGAGGGCGCAGTGAGCCTCCCCTCGCCCCAGTCCCTCTTGGGTGCCTCCGGCTGCCAAGCGCCAGGCCAGGCGGGACCGTGCGCTGGGGGCCGGGAGGTCACGCCGTGAACAGGGGGCCTTCCTACTCGTCAGGATGCTCCCCTGGCCCCGAAGAGCTGGGGTCCCGCGGTGCTGTAGGCCT